GGTTACATTTGCCACAGATACAGCATTTCAGAAAGACTCGATTTTCTCTATCACGTAAAAGTAGTAACAGAAGGAATATATAACAAGTAGTAACACATTATACTTACCTTCATGTTTTCTACTTCCATCAACCCTCATGACAGAATAGTCTGGTTTATATCTTTGTGATAGTCACTTTGCTGATACACCTCATAGTATGTATTTTTTACAAGGTTTTCAGTAGGGAAAACTGGAGTTGCTATTAGTTCTGATGAACCAAATGAGAAAAAACTTATTTCAAGAAGAATATAGAAATACATTATTTTTAGCAACATTACAGTATTGTGAAATATAGCCCCTCTCCAAGGTCTCAGCCAGTAGCTCCCACCTCCTTGATACACAACAAACAGAACAAGTGCTGATACTTACTTTAGGAAAAAAGATTGTGAAATGTGCTTTTGAAATACATTTCTCAGAACACTTTCAGGCCCACAGAAAGCTGTTTACATTCTATTACTCGCAGACACAATTGCAAAAAATGTCAGGAAGAACAATATTCTGAGCTGCAAGCAGTCAACAATTCTTGCTGAATTCCTGGGAGCCAGAACTTCACGATCACTCTTTAAGTATGTAATCTCTGGTCATGATAAAAGAACTGGAGGTTTAAATAATGGAATTTTTAAAATTATTGCCGTAGAAATAGAGCCTGGATATTTATCACGGTAATCAGCTATCTTTCAGAAAATTTATGTAGAAAGATTGATGTGAAGTTCCAGCTGATGACCTAATTTGGTAGCAGTACAAGAACTTCAGCGTTCAAACATCCTTCAGCGTTCACTTAGAAAAAACAAATCTCCTTTCACCAAAGGGCTTCATACCATCATAGTGTAGAGGGGAACTTTTAAGCTTTTAAACTCAGAAGTGCAAACCCTTTGAACTTTGTAAAAAGACAAAATATTTTAAATTGATGAAAGAGAATGAATGAAAATAACTTTCCATCTGACGGTGATCTTTATCTACTGATACAGACTTGCTACCAAGTCCAGTAAAAAAAAAAAGAGAGAGAAATTTATAGCATTTTGTTGATAATTTTATTTCTGGATATGTTTATTAACTAACTTCTACTTTTCTTCCTTCTTGCTAGTTTTTGCTTTTTGCTGTTTAAAAATACCATTAGAAAGACAGTAGAAGTTTTTATTCAATAGCACCTTCTTTGTTTATCAGATTATTCATGCTGGACAATGGAAAGCATCAGAAAAATGCCTAGTTTTAACTTTGAAATGCAAGGAATTGAAGGCGATATAAACAACTTTGAATCTCTGACACATATTAAAACAGTTACAATTACTGTGAAAGATATTCTGATCACACTCATCACAGGAAAGATGAAAGATGTTCAGAAAGATGATAGAAAAAATTTAAAATATATACTCTACAATAAATGACTTCAAAAGAAAAAAGATCAACCTTTTTTTGGTGTTGCTAAATATTTACTGTCACCAGCACCTACAGATGATTTTAATCTTTCACAACATTACAATATACCTTTATAATGAAATGCTATAATGAAGTGCTTCCCACAGATATGTAATAATCATAATCTACAAACCTGCTTCAGATAGTATAAAACAAGCTTGACCTTTTGCTCTGCATGCAATAGAGCTTGCTGAGGATATTTTTAGCTACTGCATCACCGTGACAAGCGAACTGCTTAGGTAATGTCTGCAGTGAGAAGTGTACACATCTCTGTCCTTTCCTTTAACTAACAAACCAAACACAAACTCCGATCAACTCCACAAGTTCCTTGGTTTCCCCTTAATGTTCAGCCGTCCAAATATGACCCTGATTCATCAGCATCACTATTAGTTTTATGGAGGCTCTACAAGAAATACTCTAAAATAGACAGTTGATTCTTGATGCCTTAGGACAATGTTTTTGGACACATCACAGAAAAGGATTTGTTTAGCCTATTCCTGAAGATCCAAATTATACCCATGAATAAAGTGTTTTCCACACCGAGCTTTCTTTGGCATGTTTAAAATCCACTGATGAAACAGGAATGACACAGGAGTTAAGAAGCCTTTCCAGACAATATTCAGAATGGCAATGTAAAAAAATTCAGGACAATCTTGTCAACAAGTTAGTCACTCCTGCATCAGCATTTACAGTACCTAAACTAGTTGAAGTAAATGGTGGGAAACAGAAAAATGTCTATTTGATACTGCATCAATACTGTCCATTATCTGAAAGTAAGCATAAATTATATGTGTTGAGTAATTTTTAATCAGTGGCTATTACCTGTTAGGAAACAAAATGAAATCTCTGCATCCAAGGGGGAGGAAAAATTCTGCAAGCTCAAGTATGTGGACATCAATGCAGTGGAAGAGGAGGCTCCACCATTTTATACAGGAACTTCAGTATTGAATAGGAAACAGGCCCTTTAAGGTCATGCCTACACCACTAGTTTCAGACAGTCAGGAACTAACATTACCAGGAGATGAGGCAACTTTTGAGCAGAAGCCAGTGTAATGATGCACAAAAATCTTAAAATGCTAGTGCAAACTCAGCCTTCAAAATGATTACTGCTTTTTCTTTGTTCAGCTGTGTTGTGATACAGTGAAGGAAATAAATGCTTTGTAAAAATGACTTTTATTTGACAAAGTTATTCCTCGAGCAAGGCAAAATTAAAATATTCCTTCACTTACCTCAGATATAGACACTGTACAAAACGAGAGTGGAAAATGAGTTCTTTGTTAATTACTTATATATACATAATCTCAGAGCTAAACTATAATTCTGTAAAGGAAGCAGATTGAAAGCCAAAAGAAATGTGCAGAAATACAACACAGATGCATAGGTCTGTATGGTATCAAAATAGTCATTAGCAACATTAAATTATTGGCTAGAAATCTCACTTTTCTGATTTTCCCTGGGCTAGATCATCAAGTGAAAATTATCAAATAGGATGAGCCTGACTGATGCTAATAAAGACACCATTAGATACACTAGATCTATGATTACTGTTTTACTTAGCTTTTAGACACATTCTAATATAATCAGGTTTATAGCTAATTTCTAATATAAAGCCAATAATCATATACATGCATATAGTATGCATATTATACGACTGCAGACTGAAGAGCTTGAGCATTTTAGATTTTGTTGAGCCTACGCATGAGTTCTAGGGCTTCTTGCTTCTCCCACTGCACATAATTCTTGTCAAAATTATTTATGTTATCTTGGATACAAAGAATATGGATTATTTATTATAGAAACTTAATTGCACTAGCAGTCATGCCTTGGAGGCAGAAAAAGTTTGAACCTTTAGGCTTTCAACTTATCTAAAATGCTATTTTTCAGGATATCATAAATTTATTTATATAATGTTATTAAAAAAAAATACCTGTGATATCACCTGCCATGAATTAGAATGGTTTTGCAAACTTTCCCCTGACATTCCTCTACCAAAGTTTCCACAAATTATTTTCCTATGACGTCATGGTTTTATGATTTTCATTATTGGTATTCCACATCACAGCATCATGTAAAGCACTGAGAGTTAAAGAGTTAATGCCCCACTTCCATGGACCAACAATTTTCTGAATATACCCGGCTCTCAGAAGAGAACTACACACTACAGAGGACATTGTGTTCAGAGGGGAAGACAAAGCTGGCAAGTCACAGGACTCACTCTCTCTTGCTGCCCGGCAGTGTGTGGGTATGCTCCCCAGCCATCGGTTTCGGACACTCTCTCTCTCATTTTATTTGATGTATTAGCCTCAATTCCAATTATATATTGCATTATAGTGTGTTATCTTGCATTCTGATATAATATGTAGTAAATTAACTTTCCTCCTCAGATCACTGCCACTGTTCTGTTTTTAGGCCCATCTCCCTACCCTTCCCCCTTTCCTTTTCCCTTTCCCAGGGCATGGATCTGTATGTGCCCTGCCCCATTAGTCACAGTACTGGGACAAACTGGCCTGTAAACCATCAACACTCTCCCTTTTTCTGGGCCAGTGGGCTTGTGGGCCTGTCATGGACACAGACAGATCTAGAGATAACTTAGTGACACTATGATTAGGCAGAAATAATGAAAACTAAAAATAATCTCTTGTGCATGACAAGGAGGAGATGGAGTTTAACACATAATGAAAAGTTTGTATACTACATCTCTCTTTTTTTTTTTTCTGCTGCATATCTGAATTTCTTCTCTGAGACTTGCAGTTTTGAAAGCAGTCAGTGCTCCCAGTCTGATTTTGTATGTCTGTCATCTAATTCTGCATTTTTTCTCACAGGGTAGAGAGAACACCTAAAGCACTAGAAGTGTCAAAGGTAAGGAAAAAAAATCCCTGCTGTTCTATGTGATAATCACAATATTCAAGAGTGGAGACTAACACATGATGTTCCACTAGGAAAGATAGTTATCAGTAACATCTTACTGACAATAATCATAAGCTTCTCCCACTTCTCCATGACCACATCTGACCACATCTTGCTGAAACACAATAAAACTCTTCCGTAGCAAAACTGATGAAGACAAATGGTAAGAATAAAGTGCAAGCAAATTCTACCATACTTTATTCCACCTAGGTAAACAAGATGGTTTGGACTCATCAACACTCAAATATCTTTTGACTTACCAGATGAAAAGGAAACTGGTCAGTCAATCAAAAAGATCTGGATTTTCATACATTTGGAGGGAGAGATCATTAGCTAATAAAATCTGCATCATTTACTTATTCAGTGAAACCCCACAGCCATACAGAAGGCAAAAACTTTTGTCTGATTACAAAAAGTAAGCACGGAAAAAGATTTAAATAAAAACAAACTGTCTGCAATACACATTTCATATTAACAAACACATAGGAAACTATTTGGAATTTACAACTATAAGGAAGCAATTTATGAAAAGTGACTGCCAGTGGAAAAACAAAAAAAAAGTGGAATAAAAAATCACAACCACCAGAAAATAACAAGAATTGCCCATGGGTCCCCACTGGATGACAAGCTCATCATCAGAAGTATCATTCTCAGTTTATTTATATTTCTAGGCATCATTTCATTCAGAACTTTAAAACTTAAGATTTCAGGTCTACAATCAATAGAGTGTAGGCACGGAGTTTCCCATTCACAGACTTGATCCAAAGCCCATTGTCAGCTGGCATTATTACTACTTCCTTCAATGGGTTTAAAAATGACATCTGAGGTCAGCATGACGCTCTCCTTATTCTGTCAGAAATTCCACTGCAGCAGTGCAGTATGCATATTCACATAATTACGTATATCTTATTCCTGAAACTGAGGTCTCTGAGCTTTGTAAAACAGAATGTATTCTATTTATACATACCAGACATTGGTTACAGTAATGTTTGGAACTATTCTAACATGATGCACTGCATGGTTTTTGAATTTTTTCTGTCAGTAGAGCTGGAGTTGTTTACAAATGTCTGAAGAAATGACTGTCAAAGCTCCTATCTTTCAGCACGGATTCTTCCATTATGCATCCAAAGTGATAAGAGCTAATAAGCTTCTCACACTCCTTTCAGTCAATGCACTTGGGCATACACTTGAGAAATAAAGATAGACTTGTGTGTATATTTAATTTTTTTTCAGTTTCTTTTAAAATTAGAAATACTAAAACATTACATCAAGATATGATAACACCTTTAAACCAGAAATGAAAGGGAATTTTTTCATCATTGCTGTAGTTGCCTAGAGCTTCAATCACAGGCTACTAGAAAAGACAATAAAATTAAATCATAAATAAAAACTATTTTTCCTGTTAAAAGAAGAAACTGAATATACAGATACTTCTCTCAAGTATAGTTTCAGAGAAATCTTGAACCAATGATACACTCCCAAATGAAGACATTTGCCATTTTTTAAATTGAGATTTGCAGGTTCACAAATCATACTGTATCAGTGGTATAGAGAATGTCAGTCACTCTTTTCCTGTGTTGCGGTTGGGTCTTCATTTAATAAACTGCTTAACTGTTTCTGTGCACATGAGAGGAAAAGTTCCAAACTAGACAGATTTCTCTGACGAATAACTTGATCAAGCTGTTGAAATAAGGAAAGAAAGAAAGAATAAGAGAACATAGAAATAAATGTTAGGCTTTAATTAGCAAAAATTCATACATACTCACCAACAAAAATTCCAACTCCAAATTCAGCAACCACCCACAAAAAGAATTTTTAATACACACAGTTTAGTATCAGCTTTTAAACAATTATTTCTTTCCAAAATAAAATGTATGTAGGTCACTTTGAAAGCAATGCCTTCTAGTTATTTCCATGGAAACTACAACAGACAGGAAGAACATATAACACTATTTGATAGAGCAAAGTCTCAGCTACAAAACACTATTTTTCAACATACTGACCAACATTAGCTATGCATTTTTGCCTATGATGAACAAGAGCCTGCATGTTGTGCTCATAAAAGTCTGCACCAGCAGATGTGCCCCACTGTCACTGTTGTCACTACTGAAATGTACTACGTACTGTCTCACTGTGCTTACATTCACTGTTTGGCCTCCAGAAATGTTCAACAAGCATCAGCGAATGTCAGTGAGCTCCATTTTTTTCTGCATAGAGGAATTCTCTGAAACACTTTTGTTTCATATGCCATTTTGTCAGACCCCACTTTGCTGACATCTGTCACACAGCAACAAAATGGAATGGAATACTAGCTGGGGAGGTTCGACCTCTACTGCCATACCACCAACATCTGCCTCTGACATTGTGGGCCAACATAATAAAATAGGAGGTATAACTTTCAGAGCAGCCCTCTCATTTAAATAACAGCTGCTACTGACAAGAAATTGAAAGACTTGGAAACACTAAACCAAGCTCTAAAGAACCCATATCTATATAAAAGACAATCGAGAACAAAGAACAAAATGGGCACACTGTTGCTGTGATGATGGATTTCTCCTGATATGAAAGGCATCTTGATTCTCTACTCCAAAATATAAAGAACACTTTGTATGAAGAAACTTGCAGATGTTTTTCTGCTTCTGACCTGACCATTCCCTCTGGGGAATGGATAGATACAGTCCAATTCATATAAAATCATATGTTACGTCTTAAGAAAGTACTCGAGAATCCAATTTCTCTAAATATTATTATGTCATGAAATCCTATTGCTTTTGGTAGATATGTTGGATGAAATTGGAACATGAAACTGATTTTCAGTGGTTTTCCTTTTATGGCATATTGCATCGTCTTGACTCTCTTACTAAAAGAGTCCTTCATTGAGCTTTGATCAAGAGCTTTGGCTAAGCTCTTTTTTATTTTTTATTTTTTTTGCAACTTTTCCTTGCAGATTCTTCAGAAATAGGTACTTCTTTAAAGTAGCTTACCAAATGTGTGTTCTGATATTGTGCTGTTAATTGTATCAAGACAGTGAACTCCAATTGTACACCGTAAGTTTATTTCACTCAGAACTAAGTAAATGGTCAATGTGTGCAGCTATTGGCTGCAATATGAATTTATTCAGGCTTGAGATAGACTTTACACTTCATGAATTAATAACAAATTTGAGGAACCTTTGTTGAGGCTCAAGTGGTTAGTTGGAAGTCTCCCTTTGTAAATAAAGCCACTTGATTGTTAAAAGTTTATGTAAGTTCAGTAACATAAAAGTTCAGAACTCGTCAGTTAAGCTTCACCTTGAAAGGTACATTTTAAAATTCTTCCATGCTGAAGTAGCTGACTAAACAGTCAGAAAAGACTTAGGATTTTCGCATGACACAAAACAAAGCAATAGTGAAATGATACTGATTTTGAAAATAGTACATTGAAATGGCTGTTCAAAAAGAGAGCATTGTCATTAATGGATAAGTTAACTGGGAAACAGAAAGAAATCCAGTGAAGCTTCATTATATAATAGATTATTTAATGAAGTGTTTGGAACAGCCAGATTTTTTGAAGACTGCCGCAACATTACTGTGTTGCTCCTTGCATAATACATAATTAAACGAGCAGGTTTATTTAAACCTTGTTGTTCTAAACAGTCGTCCCTTTGTATTTAGAAGGCCCTGTTCACTTCATGGAATGATGTCATTACTTAAGCAAACATTCATGGAAATCTGGTAAATTCAAACTGAATGTGACTCATATGCAGACATAATCAGTATGAATAGCATATTAGGGATGGAGTATTCATATAACCAAATTAAGTTAGCTGTTTTAATTCTGCAGATACTGAAAAATGTACTGTATTGGTCTTGATCTACCACAAGAGAGGAGATTTTCCACATCCCACCATCACTGTATTTAGTATTAATGTTTTCAATCATATTAAATTTATCCAGTTCAGTGCTCCCAATTCTTTATGTCATGACCTAGAAGCATTCACATCCTTCACGTTTTCCCTTTCTAGCATAACTACTCACAAATAGATACATTTTCAGGGCATAAATTCTTAGTTCTTCCTCCACCAACTATTTCTCAAACATCTAAAAATTTCAAATGGCTAAAGTAGAAATGCAGTCAGAACTCTTTAAGTATTTACTATATGTCAATTATTTTATCTCTTACTAGTAAATGCTAAAATATTTTACAGAAAACTCAAATTTAGGTTCAGGTATGAAGTTATAAGGATGAAATTAGGATCTAATCATAGTAAAGATACATTTTATTATTAACCTCACAGTGCCTTAAAGTTCAGTCAGAGATGTAAAGAAAGCAAAATTGTTACATAAAGATCCTTTACTTTTCCCTGTTGTGTAAATATTAAGGTGTTTACATGAATATCTTTGAAAACTATTTGTCAGACAACATTATTTTCCAGTAGCAACAGATTTCAAGCTGTAGAAAATGGTAAATACATTTCTAAAAATGTGCACTGAACAATTTATCAGTACTTCAAATGATAATCTGATGATTAATGTAGCCAAATGCAATTCCACTCACTCTTCTGTCTCTGTAATTCTAAAAGGATTTAATGTTTACAATGACTTGAGACTAAAAATGAGTGAAGATATTGAGTACTGTTGTTACTTTTTAACTGGATTTTTTCAAAGTTGATCTCAATCATGCATGTTATAAAAACAAAGAATAAACATGGCATTACTATTTAATGAAGCAGAGCATCTTCTCTTAAACATCATGAAATCAGAAATCAGGTTTTCTCTCCTGCGAATTCTTTATGCAAAACAACGATGCAAAGTACAGAATACATCAATAAATCATTTTAATACATTCATATACATGTTTTTATTTATCCTTAGAAGAGAATTAAAAACTTCAAATCCTGAAAAGTACCCTTGCCATTCAAAGAAAATCAAGTTCATGAAGAGACATGAAATTTCAAATGTAAAATCAATACTTCATGTAATTGAAAACACTTAGATTGATGTGTAGCAGAATGTGTTCTGAAGATTGAGCTTAGTAGGTCTAGATTAGTGGAGTTGATAAAAAGGATTTCCACCTATTTCGTGCTTACAAGTAGCTGCTTGTTAGCTGTTGAATAGAATTTAATTCCAAGGTAATTCCTTTAAATTCAATAGTGATTAGCCACAAGGAATTATTTATAGACACTGTTATGATGTCATTACACATACTTTCCAAGTGACTAGTATTATGAGCAATCCTACATATTTCACCATCTTCTTGTCCTCCAAGTCCTCCTCAGTAAAAAAAAGACATTTCAATACTGTAGGTAAAAGTAATCAAGATTTTATTGTATTTCTTGTAAATGTATCTTCTTATATATTTAATTTGGTGTATAACTATAATTAATCTTGGTTATAATTCCATTTTAACTGAATTCCTCCACACTTTGAAAAGTATCTCCAAGGAGAACACAATATTAGTCAAATGTGTTCATGATGAAAACTGCTTCACCTAAACACTTATGTCCTTAAAAATTAAGGACTAAAGGAAAAAAAATCTTCAAGGCCCACTAGAATCAGAACATAATTTAATGGCTCATTCTACACACTTGATATAATATTAAAAGTACACTGGGTTGTTCATGGAGCAATTACTCTAGATGTAAAACAACTTCTTTGTTGTTGTCAATCATTGCTGTGATCAAATTAAAATTTAGGTATTTCTGTTCTAATTGTATGTAAATCTGTACCTGTAATTGTATGTAAATCTTTAATAACTTGTAAAAAGTTCACTAAAACATCATATAACATCACTCTGCATTATGAAATACAGACAAAAAATGGTCTTTCTAAAGAATGACCTGCACTTCAGTCCTAAGTGAATGAAATGACTGCATTTTAAATCTTACATAAATTTTTAACTGCAGTCACTTTTTATGAATAACATAATTCTTTCTGAAACATTGAGTTTTCTTGTGTAATTACAACCTCAGCTTTTGCAGAATTTTCCTGCTCCCATTCACAGTATGGAATAATCTATTCAAATGTACTACTGCAACTTAGTGCAAAATTCGTTGTATATACTGTGCTGCATATTGGCTTACATCAAGTGTTCAACAGAATATTGCAGTGTAATTATAAGACTCATAGGTGTCTTCTCACAGTCTGATTCGTAGACATTCCTCTTTGAGGAAAAATAAAAAATGAGGGTACAATTTTTGTACAATTTTTATGAGATATGTTTTGTGGTCTTTTTTCTTTTTTTTTTTTTTTCTTTCACAGCTAATCCACACATGAGCCACAGACATGATTCTGAAAAATTCCACAGCTAGAGAAGTTCAGCAATGTAGTCATATTTTCTAATAAAATTATGGTTTCAGAAAGTTTTTGTAGTGAACTAACATGAGCTTCTCTCCATAGATTGAACAGAAGGCTTTAAAAATTTCCCTAGTGCATTAAATATAACACACAAAAAATTACTCTGTGGAACCTGCAAATCTGTGAGTTGGATGAGGAAACAATGAACTAGTTCCTCTCATTCCTTTAAAGGATGAGAAGGAAAACAGATCCATATGGTACATATGGGAAGCAGAGCCTATTTTCAAGTTAATCCCAGGACAGGACATTTTTGTCTGTTCACCTGTGAATTTCTACTATTGATAACACTTACTAAGTATACAAAAATGAAGTTCTTCATGGCTACAATTTATACAGTATCTGCTA